CACCTTAGGTGTACGTGGCTGGCGCCTTTGCTGGTTGAGCTATAGGCGCCGAGCCAAGTTTTTAATTTTAAATGTTAGGCAGTTATAAAAACAAAACATACCATTAACATGGTTCTGAAGGCACGTAGAGGAAATACCTAAAAGAACTAAATTCTAAAAGGAAGAGGATAAAGAAGCCTATGAGGTGGGAAAGGTTCTTACATTTCACTTGAAAGTGGTAAAAAGCACATACAAGCAAACTGTTGAATTACATAAATAAACTGTAGAGCAACCACTATGAAAACAATACAAAGAGACACCAAAACATAACAGATAAATCAGAATAGAATGGGATATTAAAAAATATTCAACCACAAAAAGACAGGAAAAGAGAAATGAAAGAAGGAAAAAATGAAGGGAACAAGCAAAAACAATGAAATGGCACATTTTAAGTCCTGATATATTAATTACTACATTAAATGTGAATAGTCAAATACATAGTACACTACTACAAGACAGAGATTAACAGAGTGGATAAAAATAATGAATCAAGAAACTAATTACAACTGTAAGGACATAGGTAGGTTAAAAGCTCAAAATAAAATATCGGAAAGATAAAGCCGTACAAACACTAATCTAAAGAAAGCTGGAGTGGCTACATTAATATCAAATAAAGTAAATGTCTCAACAAAGAAAATTACCACACACAAAAAAAGGAACACTACATATGCTAAAAGGGTCAGTCCTCAAAAAAGACATAAAAATCTTGGGGTGGGCGCCTGTAGTCCCAGCTACTCAGGAGGCTGAGGCAAGAGAATCCTTTAAGCCCAGGAGTTGGAGGTTGCTGTGAGCTGTGACACCACAGCACTCTACCCAGGGCGATAAAGTGAGACTCTGTCTCAAAAGAAAAAAAAAAAGAAGTCATAAAAATCTTGAATATGTAATGTACCAAATAATAGCTTCAAAACACATGAAGTAAAAACAGAAATGGACAAAGTCACAATTACAGCTAGGGGTTTCAATACTCCTCTCTCATAATAGAATCACTAGACCTGAAATAAGCAAGTACACAGAAAAACTGAGTAACAGCATCAGCCAAGAGGAGCTAACTGACACATTAACATTCTACTCAACAATAGAATACACATGCTTCTTAAGCGCACTTGAACGAACATTCAACAGTACAAACCAGATCTTGGGTCATTAAACAAACCTTGACAATTTAAAATGGGCGTCCTCAAACTATGGCCCGTGGGCCACATGCAGCCCGCCTAGGACATTTATCCGGCCTGCCAGGTGTTTTTGCCACCGCTGCCTGTCCTGCTTAGCAGCCAACTCGTCCCAGGGCCCGCAGTCCGGCCCCCCAAAGGTCTGAGGGACAGTGAACTGGCCCCCTGTTTAAAAAGTTTGAGGACCCCTGATTTAAAAGAATTAAAATTATATAAAGTATGTTCTTTGACCATAAAGGAATCTTACCAGAAGCAATAACAAACAGAAAAATAACAGGAAAATCTTCAAACACATGAAACCTAAAAAACACACTCCTAAGTAATCCATATGCCAAATTGTTAAGCTCAAAGGAAATTCTTAAAACACATTAACTGCATGAAAACAAAATTAATACAACATAACAAAAGTTATGGATGCAGGTAAAGTAAAACTTAAGAGGGAAATTTATAACACTAAATATTTGTATTAGAAAATAAAGTCTCAAATCAATACTAAGTTTTTGCCTCAAGAATCTAGTAATGGAAAAGCAAAATAAGCGGAAAGAAGAAAATCTTAAAGAGAGAAATCAACACAATTTGAAACAAGAAAAATATTGGAGAAAAATCAAACCAAAAGCTGGCTCTCTGAAATGACACATAACATCCACAAATCTCTAGCAAGACTAAAAAGGAGAAAAGACACAGATGACCAATGTCATGAATGGAAGGGATATCCCTACAGATCCTACAGCCATTAGATAAATCATAAAATCACAAATCACATAATAGGCTAAAAACAGAATACTATTTTATAAACAACTCTATACACACGAATTTGACAATTTAACGCACAAAACCTCCAACTATAACTCACTCAATTGATGAAATGATGAAACTGATGATATGAACAGCTCTAAACAACCTAGAAATATAGAATTTAGAACATAAAAATTTCAGAAATAGAAATCTATAGGCCCATATGGTTTCAGAGGAAAAGTATGAACCAAAGAATTAAAACAAATTCTATACAAACCCATAAACAACACGAGAAGGCAACATCTCTCCACAAAGTTTATGCGCTCAGCTTCACTTTGATGCCCAAACCAGACAAAAACATTACAAAAAGAAAAAATAAAACTAGCTACCAACATCTCTCGTGAACACAGAAAAATCATCAGGGAAATATGACCAAAGAGTATCCAGCAGTAGAGAGAAGGAATTCTACAGCAGAAGGGAATGGGAGTTCTTCCAGGAATGCAAGGCTGGGCGGATGTTTTGCAATCACATTCTCCATCTCATAAAACCCATATCCCCTGGGTAGGTGCCAGGCTCTGAGCACCTGGACCATGCCACCTGGGTCGCACCAGGGCTGCATCACCTGATCCACATCACCTGGACCGCACCTCTCCGGCCCCCTTCTGCCAGACGCCGCGCCTGCGTAAAGGCAGACCCGCCGCTGGTCAGGCTCCTGGGGCGCTCTATGCCCCGTACCCCCTGCCCCGGCGCACCCAGGTCGTGGTGAGGCGCCAGGCCGCTCTTTGCCCGGACCGTCTCCTCGCTAAGCACCAGTCTCAGGCCCGCTGGCGCCATGTTTTCAAACGGGAGGCTCGCACAGTGCGCCTGCGCACTGAGCAAGGCCCAAGTGGGCGCAGCCAAGTGCCGGGCGGGGGTGAGCCCGGGCTTGCCGCAACACCAGCAGCCTAGGAGGCTATCCTGAGGGGGCTTCTTGATGCCTCCGCCCACGCAGTGCCCAGACCCCGGTGCCTGGCCAAGAAAGTGCCTTCCCAAGAAAGCCCAAGTGGGCGCCCGTGCCCCTGAGGACCCCCACCCCTCCTGTGGACTTGTTCCCAGGCCCCGGACCCCAGTGATCTCTCTCCCCTCCCGCTCCCAGAGACCCCACCCCCACCCAAAAGCCGGCTTCCTGAGACCTCTGTCCCCCTTCCTTCTTGTCCCTTGGAGACCCCCCCAATCTGGTCCACCTTCCCTTCCTGTCCCTCCCCCCCCCATACCCTATCTATGCCTCCTCACCCTGCCCTGGGGGTCCCGCCCTCTGGGGATTACGCCCCCTCTTCTCTAGCACCCCCAGCCCAGTACCTCTGGTTCTAACCAGGACCTCAGATGTGAGGTCTGAGCTTTCTCTCTCAGCCCATCATTGGCCAGTGGCCGTCCCTCTTGGTCCCAAGGCTGTGGCTCCACCCTCTACGCATTCTAAGGGTCTCCACTTGTTCCCCTTCAGTCCCTGACCAGCTTTGGGCAAGCAACAGATTTATGGGCGGTGTAACCAGATACAGGGACATCTTAGCCTTTGTCCTGGTGTCCAGGGGTCTGCTGATAATATGCCCTGTATGTCACAGCCCAGGGGGTTAACAGGGCTAAGGGGGTTAGGAGAGGCTGGGGTGGGGCGCAAACGTGGCAAAGACCGAGGGTGTGTGCAGGGAGGGATGGGGAGCAGGGTCTTCCCCCCTGAGGACTTGCCTACCTCAGAGAGGCTTCTGGGTTTGCATCTGAGCAAGGGCCCGGGGCCCAGGAGGCACAGGCTGGCTGCCCCCATGTGAGGACAGCTGTGTCTTCACTCTCAGCCCGAAGCATGCCAAGAGGGTGCTGCTGAGACCCTGAATTTATACTCAGAGCTGTGGGAGCCCCCAGACTCACTGTAGCCCCAGTGACAAGATGCACCTGATAGTGGTTTATAGAGACTACAACATTCAAGGACACTCTGAATGAAAAGTGGCTCTCAGAGATTCCCAAACTCACATGCTGTCTCCTGTTCTCTTCCTAGGGGACTGAAAGTATTTTGGGCACAGCTGTGTCCAGTCTGGTCACTGCACCCAGGGCTCAGTGAGTGGACCTGTGTGCAGCCAGGAGGCTTAGAAGCCCTGAGCGGGTGCCCTGACAGGCTTCAACCCAAGAAAAGCTGCTTTGCAGGACCAACCTGAACCCCAAAACACAGCTCCCTTCTCCTGGGCAGGTCCCCAGCTAGGCAGCTCAGGGCTGGCCAGTTGGCCAGAGGGGCTTCAAAAGCAGCTAGTCTGAGACAGAGCTACATGGAGTCAGCTTTCCTGCTGTGATGGACATGCTGATGGAGACTTCAGAAGTGAGGTTTTCTGCCTACTGAATGTCACACCTTCACTACAAGCTGCCACTCAGAGACAAGCAGCACTCACACTCCCACACACAGGTTCCTGTGAGCTGTGCTTATTAGCTAGATGCAGTTATGCTAAATGCAGTCATATATATAGCTGTCACTATTTAACATCATTTATTGAATACCATTTTTAGTGGACACATTTAATCATGAGCTAGACCCAAATTTATTTAACCCATCTGCTGGACTTCAGATCTATTGCCACTTCCTTAAAGTGGTCAGTCCAGGGTCTTCTCTTGATCTGATGATGCTGGATTTCCTGAACTAGAATGTTGGATGGTCTGAGCTAGGGTGGCAGGACCCAGGAACAGAGTGTGAAAATTTAGCTCTGCCTGCTCAGCCCACACTTGTGAGACTAGCAGTACTGAGGAGTAATTTGGGAGCACCTGTGGCTAATCTGCCTTGTTGCCCTCAAATCAGGTGTGCTTCCAAAGCAGGCATGCTCCTACCCAAGTTTCCCAGGTCCTGCCACAGCTCTACCACTCAGCCTTGTGGAAATCTGGAGCAGCACTTTGGACTAGTGAGCCCATCCGTGGCTGGACATTTCCCAGATAGAAATGTTCCCCACCAGATGCCCCCTCCACAGCTTTCTAGAACATTCCAGGGAAGCTCTCAGGGCCTCCAGCCTTAATTGCCAAGCCTGTAGGTACCAAACTGCAGGGTCAGTCATGCCTAAAGAGATGAGGGCAGAGGAAGATGACAGGGACACCCACGCCAGCCATCGAGGGGAAGATTGGAGCAGGGCTGGGGGCCTGAGGGGTTTGGACTTTCTGCAAAACAGGTGCGGGTGGAAGGAGGCTGTGAAACATCATAGGGATACTCACCTCAGTCCCATCCCCCATGTCTCTGTCAGGGCTGGGCAGAGTGGCTGCTGCTGGGGTCTGTTGGCCTGTCAGCCCCGACTAGTGCCTGGTGCTTGATCAGCACATCTTGTCCAGTGTCAGAGCTGGCCGCCAGGGCCAGTGAGGGCCCAGACACACAAACACGCACACACACACACAGCGTCTGTTGGTGAAGCTTGGCTTGAAGTCCACAGCAAGTGGACTCCCGAACCTCTCAAGACTGTGCAGGAGCTCCATGCAGACACGTCTACTGGCTGGCTCCACTGGAAACACACATGTGCACTCTTGCACACTCCCCCTAACTCAGCCCACACTGGCAGGTCACACCCACACATACAGTCAGTTCACACTACCCCACACTCATGCCCCACTTGCTCTCACACTATTGTACATGTGCATGCACTTATGTGGTCTCACACCCACATGCATGCCCAGTTTGGTACCAGTTTGGTACCCACAGGCACCTTCCAGTGTCCAGCACATGGCCAGTAGCAGGGTCCCCCTCAGAGGAAGAGCTGTGGTCGGGCTGTTACATCCCTTGTGTTAGGCCAACTGGAAGGAAGGAAGGTGCCCTCTGGAGCTGCAGCTCATCAGTGGCAGGATCTGGTCAGGGGCCAGCTGCTCCCTTTGTTGTGGGTATGTTTCCTTCTTGTGCTCATTCATTCACAAGGCTGAACAAAAGAACCTTTTTCCCTAGCAGTATCTCCAGCAGTTAAGATCAACATCAATATTTGTGAATGAGCAATATAGCACTTTACCAACTAACTTTTTTCCAAAATGTGAAATGTGATGGCATACAAGTCCCTTTCTTGGACTGTTTTTAAGACAAACACAATTGAGGGTGGGCTTGGGGGCCTCTGCATCCTAACATGTTAATGAGGATAAATGCTCTGTCCACAGTAATGCCTCATCACGTGACATTTGTTAGCCACACGTACAAGTCCTTAGGCTGGTGGTAGGGGGCCTAGGGCCTTGGGCCTGTGACCCTCTGTGTGGCTAGCGAGAAAATCTGAGTAGTCTGACCAGGGCCATAGCACCACTGTCAGCATCTTGGATAATGCTTCCACTGCATAAAATTCCTGCCTCACTTCTGGAAAGGTATGATTTTAGGATGAGTGGTCCAAGGTCATCCGCTGAGGGTGCCAGCAGGGTCTATGTAAGGCTAATTGCAGGGTTGGGGTCCCTAGCTAAAGGGGCCCTTTCACCACAGGCAGGAGCTACCATAACAATAGGCAGTCACACCATTCACCCCCACAGGCCATTGGGAAAAATGACTATTTCCAAACCCTGAGGCGGGGCACAAGCCACCTTCAAGTGTTTGTAAGCCTTTTAATCTATAACTGAAGATGCAAGTAAAACCCAGTGGCACAGGCCTCGCCAAGGGAAGTTCTGGGGACCCTGAAGACACGGTGTGAGGGGCACAGGGTCCGTGTCCTGTACTTGGCCATCATGGGATGATAAGCAAAAGCATGGCATCACCGAGGTGCCAACTTAGGCTTTAGACTACTCCACTGCTTAGCGAGTCTTGACTTCTGCTAATCTAAGAGAGAAAATGCTTCTTTCAAGCAACCTCGTTGCAGCCGAGCATGCTCCCCAGGTCCAGGTGTGCTGAGGAGGTCTGTCGGGGTCCCGCCCCAGGGGCAGGGTCCACTAAGACCTGTGGAACTGGCATGACTGGCTGAAGAAATATAAAGTTAGGAACGATGGTAAAGAAAGAGACATGAGACACAGAATAGAATTTTCAAAGGTGGGAACTCAGGGGACCACCACCTGTTCGTGGGCTCTGGTGAGTGGCTCCAAGTCTTTGTTCCACACAGCTTTTATTGAAACCTCCTTGCCCAGGTGGTAAGCTGAGGGAGGGCACAAAGATGCCAGTAGTTTCTTCCAGTGAGCTATCAGCGCCTATTGTTATTGTTATTAACTTTAAGGATTTGAGCAGTTTTGGAGCATCTGAAACTTGAGCCTTGAGTGGGGGAGGCCTCCTGTCTGGAGTCACACACACAGATTCCTAGGGAGTTGTTAAGCTCTGCTAGTTCACTGTGGAGTAAAATACCACTGGTGTTAATCTCCTCTGAGGAATCAGTGGGAGAGAGGCTTTTTCTTCTCATCACCACCACAGAGGATTTTCCTGTGCGATAAGGGGTGCAAGACCTTTTGCCCATATCTCAGGGCTGGAGCTTTTCCCTTGGTCTCTGCCCCAGCCAAATGCAAATCTCCACAATGGGTATCTGCTTTGTCTGTTTAATGGGCAGGAAACAACCTAGAAGGTATATCTATTCCAGGTCTTGCCATAACCTCTTTTATGACCATTTACTTCCTCAGAGTGTTCACAGACTCAGCAGGGTATTGGAGTAAGGTGTATCCCCAATAGGCTAGAGCAGAAAAGGCCGGAAACTTGTTCAGATAAGAAATTTAGCAATGGCTAGCTTAAAGGTAAACTAGCCAACTTTTCCTTGTTATGACTCCTTCAGCTTACTTTTTAATTTTCCCCTTTTCTGGGGGTGACCTCCTCTGCCAAGAATGGGGTCTTCAGTCCTCATTCTTCCTGCAGTGTGTGGTACAAGCTGTGCCCCTCCACCCGGTGCAGGTGAGGACGTTACAGCATAAGC